CGAAGCTCAGCGAGTCTTAAAGGTCTAAAAACACCTCCAGCTCAGCCTTCAGCTCTGCGCCATGATGTATATACATTCACATATGGCCTACGTGTGTATACGTACATCCTGTCGACCGGCATATGTATATGTATATGCCTGTGTGGGTATACGTTTATATGTATACATATACATATGTGTGCAAGTATGCGTGCGTGCGCGCGCGCCACCAGTCGGTTCCGCTGCCCTGTGCGCCTCTTCGGCTCCTGGGTCGCAGTGCCTGCGAACAGGACGGAAAAATCAGAGGCCATGAGCATCTGAAAGCTTAGAAAAGCTCAGATAGAGTCGAAATAGGTGCTTTTTCTTCTGGGTTGTCTTGTGCTGCGCCAAGACTCTTTAGGTGCAAAGCAAGTCCTCAGCTAGCCTCAGCCTACGCTCACACGTTCAACCACAAACATTGCCCCTGCCCACAGCACTTTTCTCTCCGCAGGATTTTGCAAAGGCGGCGCTTCTTCCGTGACAGCATAGAAACATCACTTCACAGAGGGTTCCACAAATGCACATTGCTCTTTCGAGCCTTTCTCCACGCGCTTCGAACAGGCACAATACTCTTCCAAGCCTGTCTTCATGGGCTTCACGCAGGCACAATACCCGTCCAAGCCTTTCTCCAACATCTCTTGGGTGCACCCGGTCACCTGTAGACTTGTATAGGCTAAGCTCTGGGGCTGGTATGTGACGGGCTTGAGAGGCTAAAGTTTGCTAGATCCGACGCTGGATGAATCAAGCACAGACTATTTGCTTTTTGGCTGTAAGCTTTACAGTAGCGTACAGGTAGAGCTCAACTTTTGCAGAAACTAGATTGGTTGTCCGTCGTCCCGGGTGCAAGCTTGAGCTGATGCCGAAACGCACTCTGGCTTGTAATTACTGGAACCCGACTTAATTACCTACTAGTTAAGAAAATTGAAATACAATTTACAATCCCTCCGGTTTGGAATCGTCTATCCTAGTTAGGATCCATGCTAAACCCAGCCTCCTAAGCCGTACACCCGAACCCCTACACTCAAAACTCCAAACACGTAACAAGAACCCAATCTTCGGCGACCCACCTTCTGTGACTGTAGCTCGTCGCGCATGTAGGTCAGCGCCTCTCAACATGCTAGTGGGGTTTCAATATTTTGAACCACCTTTTTAAACACACACTGACCCAAATTTTGTAAGATGCTGAAGTCTACAGCCGACATGCACCCAACCCTACGAACCCTGAAGAGGCGTCATCGCTTTTTGAACGCCTCCTCCCTGGCAGCTGGATCTTGTCCCTTCGCGGCCCAGTTGCACACGGCTTTGGTGGTAGCTGGCATCTTCGCCACCTCAGGCTTGTGGGTTTTTTGTAGAGCCACATGCTCAGCTTGCGGGATATGGATTATCGAGTCGCCGGATAAGGCCATTTTTGGAGATTCGATGTTCGCTCAGCTAGTTCTTTTGGAAAAAGTGGGGGAACGAACACCCCGCACTCCGGGCAAAGGCATCCTAGGGTTTAATCCTCCCTTCTGCGTTCCTCAACCCTAAAACCAACTCTGGACCCTGGACCTGCGCATCACAGGAATAAGCGGTGGTTTTAGCAGCTGCAGCCTTTTGGTGAAGCTGCTTGTTGAGGGCGCGGGGTAAAGATTTTCAAGGCTGAAAGGTCAAGGGATCAGAGTTGAGAGTTTACGTTCGGCCAAGGGAAGGGTTTGGGTTTAGGGTGGAGGGTCTGAGGTTTAGAAGATAGCAGGAGCCTCGCTCATGAAGTGTTGTTTCGCGGCGGCGACGGCAAACTTCTCCTTGCATGTCACTTCCGAGACATCGCCCCCTCTGATGGCGCAAGCATTCTCGAAGTAGAAAAGGAGCAGCAGTGCGCAGGCCACACGAAGGACAGCCATATTCGCAAAGGACGTCGCTCTCCTGATCTGAAAAGGCTATATGCTGCTTGAGCCGGGCATGAAACGGCCGTGCAAGTGTTTTCGTCGATGCAGATCGATGGAGTTCATCTATGTAATCTACAATGGTGAAAGGCAATGCAAACGAAGCAACAACGATGAAACAAAGATGCAGCCTCACCTCAGACCCATCCTTCTCGTTCTGTCTTCAGGGTCATAGTGCCTGGCATTGTGGATCTATCTTCCGCTTGCAGCTGACAGCAGATGACAACTTGCAACCCTCAAGCCAAAGCCTGCACCCTATATAGAAAGTTTGCAGTATCTTCTCTCCTCAGGTGATCTACGAAGTTGTAGACTCCATGCGAGACCTGCTCCGAAGCCCAGGCTTTAACCCTGCCCTTGCTTCCAGTTGCTTCCAGCGGAAGCAAAACCTCCATAAACTCCTACGCCGAAAAAACACCAAAGACCCAAGTTTTCTAGTTACTAAGCCTGACTACACCACAAGTCCTCGAGCCGTCGCAATCTCCAGTCCCTTCAGCATTGCGCCGTTCGCTGGATCACCCTTTAGACCTTTTCAACCAGGCTTTACCCTTGCTTGGACACCAGCTTTTTCTTCACACCCCTCTCCTAAACCGTATAAGCCTTAACCCTAAATGAAATGATGTCCAAACGCCACCCCGTCAAAAAAACGAAATTATGGCCTGCTCGTTCAAGGCTGTCTGTCCGCCTCCCTTTTGCAGCTGGTCCTCACTCCCAAAGATCAAAAGAACATTGAGGCGTTCGGAAGGGTTCTGAAGTTCTGGCCTTGCTGGTTTGGGCCTGGTTCAAGGTGTAGGGTTTGCTTCGGAGTTTAGCGTTGATTGTCAAGGTTTTGCGGTCCGAGCTTCGCTGGCAACCTGATCCTGAAAGCCTTGGACAGTGGGTAATTTCGAGGCGAGGGCTTGAGTCATAGACTGCGCAACATGCCCTAAACCCTCTGAGGTCGCCTCTCTCGCTTACAGCTGGTCCGTCAAGGACTTCTGGGAATGATTGGGAAGTTGCGTCCATGAAGATGCACATTAAAACAACTTGGGCATGGTAAAATGATAGTGCCATATTGCAACATACGACTGGATTGCATAGGTTTTGCTTTGCAGTTCGGCAGTCCAAGTGGTGGACGGTAGGCTTTGCGGCTTAGGGCCTTTGGACCTTTAAGACTTAGATACCCCTAAGACACTAAGCCCTTTTTTACACAGGCTTGA